TTTGGGCCAATCAGCAGGAGTCTGTGAGTTCTAGTACCGCCTTGGGCATGAAAACCAGCTAGGTGACTTTGGGCCAATTACTTTCTTTCAGCCTAACCCACCTTGCAGGAGCGTTGTTATGGGAAAGATAGAAGGAGGAAGGAATATAGATATGTTTGCCACCTTGAGTAGTTTATAGTAATAAAGGCTGTCTATGCTAAATAAATAAATAAAATATCCCATAATCACTAGTACAACCCCCCCCCCCCCCCCCCCCAAAAAAAAAAAATGGTGTCTGCACGCAATTGGAGCCACAAGCCCAGGGCCAGTTCTGTATGGACTTTGCAAAAGTCCAACCGGATTGGGCTCATCCTGATCTCCAGAGGGAGAATGATCCATAGGGGAGGGTGCAACAATAGGAAGGGCGTGTCTGTAAGTCTCCACCAACCTCAGCATTCCTCAGTAAGAGGGAACCAAAGCACGTCCATCTTGCCTGACCAGATTGGATGGCTACAAACAACCGAGAGAAACAGTCCCTCAAGAGGAAACCTAGTCCCAAGCGATGAAGGCCTTTCAAAATGACAAGCGAGCATCTTGAATTGCACCCGGAAAGTACACTGGCAACCATTGTATAGTTCCCCGAGTAATGGCGTTACACGTGCCAAACGACCAGCACCGTTAACCATCCCTGCTACCAGTTGAAGCTTCCGGATGCTGCCCCATGTCGAGTGCATTGTCCAAGCGTAGTGTTGCTGTTCAGCCAGTGGTCAGAGCGTCAGGGTTCCAAGTAATACGCCCATAGCGAAGCAAAACTCTGAAGCAGGTAAATTCCTCAAAGAATAGTTTTATTGGATATATCATATTGGCACAGTTCTGGTGAAAACCGACTCTAAAGGTTCCCGCAGTTTTCACCTGATTAAAAGTAAAGTTTTTCCCCTTTCCCCAAACAGTCAGTCACGTGGTCCAATTGGGGTGCCGTCCGCTGGCCGGGTGACGTCACTCCTCCTCTCTCTGACCAGGTGCGAGAATGTCCTTGGTTCCCCAAAGAAATCATTTTGCTTTGGCTACAAAAACCCAGCTATCTCTAATCCTCCCTTTATTCAGTGTGGCGACGCTGAAGCTCACAATGGCTTCGATCAGGTCAGGGTTAACACAGAGCCAATTCGGACAAGTAGCCTCGGCTTCTTCCCCGCTTGGAGGTGGGATCTGGTCATGCTTTTTTGAACGTTGTCTGAGGATAATGAGCAGGAGTGCCGAGCACGAAATCCGAACCGCCACGGCCTCCATCCTCACCAGGGGTGGGATTCTTATCGGTTTGGACTGGTTCAGGCAAACCCGACGTTTAGTTTTCATCTGGTTCGCCGAACCGATATTTCAACTGACCGGCTGGCCCCGCCCACCCCTCTCAAGAGTCTTCAGACGGGCCATTTTTGATGCAGATAAATGCAGGGTTGGCATGGAGGCTCTGGGAGGGGGAAAAAAACAGGCCTGTTTCCGGCTTCTGGAGGGTCTCCAGAGCCCGGGGGAGGCTATTTTTGCCCTCTCAGAGGCCCGGGGAAAGCCGAAAAATGGCCCTTGTGGAATTTCCGGTAGGCCACGCCCACCCAGCAACCGGGTAACGAACCGGTTGCTGGGATTTTTGAATCCCACCACCCCTGATTCTCACCCAACTCTCTTCTTTGCAGAGAGGCCGCGTCCTTAGCGTGTGCCACCATGTTGTCGGCAGCAGCGGCGGCAGAGATCGAGACAGCGAGCCAGGCCTCTGAACCTGCCAGCCAAGCTTCGGACGAAGAGGAGCTCCCGATCCCGGATATCTATTTTGTAAGCCCCCTTTTTTTCGTTTTCGTGCACCAAACCTCGGTTGGTTTGGCTCTTCCCTCCTTCCTTCCGCTGCTTTTCAACGTCACTTGCTCCACCCTTCCCTTCTGAAGGCTTAAACACAAGCCAACACACCTGTGCCGAGGTCCTGTCTTTGTCTTGTCACCCTGATGCACATTTATCCCTTTGCATTCACACTCTTTTTTTCTGCCAGGTTGCCAGAGAAACTGGAAAAGTCTCTTGCCAGAAAATCTCGAGATTCCCTTGAAATAGGCAGAAATGTGTCCCACTGGGCTTCCAGGCCCATTTGTGAATGGTCTTCTTTCCTTTCCATGCAGGCAGTAGCATCTTCAGAGGAGGAAATCTAGGGAGGCAGAGAACAGGGAGTAAGTGAGCCAAGGAGTGTGTGTGTGTGTGTGTGTGTGTGGTGTGTGCAACCACGCTGTGCTAGATTCTGTGTGTGAAACCTCAAAATTGTGTCAAGAAGCTCTCCATCTTTCCCAGAATCCAGTGTTTGACCTTGTTAGGTCTCCTTCGAAGTCAAGTGTGAATCTCTTGGCTAAAAGGAAATGCGGCGGATTTCAGCAGGAACATTTTTTTTTTTTACACAAACTTGTCTAACCTTTGCCACTGTACAGGCAGTCCTCAACCTGTGACCACAATTGAGCCTGAAATTTCTGCTGTTGAGCAAGACAGTGGCTAAGTGAGTTTCACTCCATGTTATGAGCTGCTTTGCCACGGTTGGTAAGCAAATCACTGCGGTTATTAAGTGAACCATGTAGTCATTAACTGAATCTGGCTCCCCCCCCCCCCCCCCCCCGCAGCTGGGAAGGCTACAAATGGTGATCACATACAACCCCGGGATAGCGTAATTGTCATAAATACTTGTCAGTTTCCAAGCGCCCAAATTTTGATTATATGACCATGGGGATGCTGCAACGGTTGCGTGAAAACCAGTCATAAGTCACTGTTTTCAGTGCTGTTGTAACTTTGAACAGTCCCTAAATGAATGGTTGTAAGCCGAGGACACCTGAATCCCCAAGATGTAGCCGTGTCCAGCTGCTCGAAGACCACTTGCAGGGAGGAATCCATCCATTACTCAACTAACAATCAAATTGCTCTTATTAACAGAATATGCTTCTAATGTCCTCCTGCAGCCTCTCCTCCATAAACCTCTTTCCTGCACCCTGGACCAGCAAACAGCAGGTCTTTTTTTGCCTTTTAAATACCAGCGTTTCTCAACCTTGACAGCTTTTAACTAGTGCAAACTTCAGCGCCCAGAATTCCTCAGCCAGCATGGGGCGTGCTAGGAGTTGGAAGTAAGTGAAAGCTCCCAAGCTTGAGAAACCTTGTCCTGTGTAACATCCCTTTTAAAGGTTTGCAGAGTGAAGTTGCCTCTTCCCCGGATGAGTTGGCAGACAATTCGAGCATAAATCTGGATGGCCACTAGAGGGTGCCATAGAGAAGCAGAAGCATCTTTGCTGCTACCTGCTGGCGTTTGGGCTTTTTGCATTCTATCCTGAGCCTTCCTTTAGAGTGGCTCCTTGTGTGATTGGATTTCCTCAAAACATTTATGTAGCTGCCCAACTCGCCGATAGCGACTCTGAGCAGCTTACAGAAATAATTCCCCGATACGAAGCCCAATAACACCCCCCTGCACCGCAACCAGGCAACAACAATCAACAAACCATTTGATGGGCTCCATATCACCCTGGAGTCTCCAGGCCCTCCGGCAAAAGGGCCTTTTGAAAGAGTGTCAAGGTGGGGGCCAAAATCACCTCCACAGGGATGATGACCGACAAGGAGGGAGCTACCAAGGAGAAGGCCCTTCTTGGTCTCACTAGGTCACTAGATCAGGAAGGAGCATCTGTGGCCCCCTTGCAATCTGTGGGTTCAACTCCCAGCATGGCTGGCTCAGGAATTCTGGGAGGTGAAGTCCACAGTTCGTAAAGGGGCCACATTTTGTCTAGCCCTGCTCAAATGGTTCTCGACTCATAACATATCCTGCCTCTCCACTCTGGTACGTCAGATAGATATAATGGGGGGGAAAAGCCAGCCCTTCAAACAGCCTGGCCTCATTATGGTTAAACCCATCCTAAGGGGCCCACAGGGCAGCACCCACCCACCACCTTCTTTAAACAGATCCTCACCCTTTGGCTTTAATTCTAGCTAAGGATACTCTTCCCTCTTCCCACCTCACTTCCTCCCTCTTTTTGTCACTTCTCCACTTCTCCCACCAGCTTGCAGGAAGAATTGCCTTGCGAATGATGGTTTGGGTTGCGTTTCAAGTGCATGTGGATTGGAAAGGCATGTGAAGACGCTTTGCATTTGACTTGGTTTGAGGCGTCTTAGCTCTCCTCTCGTTCTCTCTTCCCGGATCTGACTTGAGTGTTTTGATTTCTTACATGCAGAGTTCCCCATATGTGCTTTAAAAGGCAAAATCTGTAAGCAAAATGCAAGCAAGGCTGATTTAACCCAAAGGTAGAGGCAAGGCTGATTTAAGTACCCTAATCTTACGTGTTACGTTTGCGTTGCCGACTCTGTTAATCCTGAGAAGGCAACCCCCTGTCTGAAATGAGTATTATAACTGAATGCTATCAGGGGTGTCAAACTCACGTCGTCATGGTGGCGTCATGTGACATATTGGGACTTTTTCCCCCTTTGCTAAACTGGGTGGGAGCATGGCCAGCATGTGATGCATCCGGCCTGTGGCCCGCGAGTTTGACAGCCCTGCCTTACATGTAATCCTTGACTTACAACTATTTATTTAGTGACTATTCAAAGTTATAAGAGCACCGACAAAAAGGGACTTATTGACCGGTCCTGGCATTTAACCACCATCACAGCATCCCCATGGTCAGTCACATGATCAATAATTTGGGTGCTTGGCAACCAAACTATGTATGATGGTTGCAGCACCCTGGAATCATGTGCTCACAGTTCATGACTTTCCCAGCTGCTTCTGGTGAGCCGAGTCAATGGGGGGATAGCTGGATTTGCTTAGCAAATTAGCGATGCGCTTAACAGGTTAACAACTGTGGCAAAACAGAATTTGGAATTGGGCCCAACTCTCTGAACAGCTTGCTTAGCAACAGAAATTTTGGTCCCAATTCTGGACGTACGTCGAGGATTACTTGTACAAGTGTTCAGTTTTGGAGCAGTGTGCTAGGCAAGTTCACGCTTTGGTTTCACGCACCAACCTGTTGAAATTAGATTATATGTTGATACTTTGAAGGCCAGAGCAGAAGAGAAGCATGATAAATGTTGTTAAGTGTGGGCAGTGAATAATTGTCCACTTTTCGCATGTGCACGTCTCACCGTGTTTGCTCCTAGCGTTCCTGGATTTGCTGTGTCAGTCAAGCGAGTCAGAACTTGCTTATTTCCGTTCTCTGGCTCTGAGTCCACTGGGCTATTGTTTCCTTGTCTCCCCGAAGACAGAACTCAACATAGCAGGACCAGAAAGTCCTTTGCACATGATGAATAGCATGACTTCACCCAGACCTTAGAAAAGCTTGCAGAACACAGAGTATTTTGGCCTCCGTGGAAAGAAAGCCCAAGGAAGCCCATGGCAGCGGAAACATATTATTTTCTTCCATGGCAGCCAAGCTCTCACAACATCCATCTGTTCCAATGCATGTTTTCTTCACCGGGTTTCCCTCTGATGCTTGTGCACGCTGACCTTTTCCGCCGACATGATCATTTCTTACCTTTCGTTCATCCTGTCTCCTCTCCTTCCTTTTTCTTTCTTCTGTCCGCCTCCTTCCCTTCTCATTCGCCTTTGGATGTGCCCTGTCTAGTTCACAGAAGGAAGGTACTGGATTTTCTCCCCCCGCCTGCGCAGGCTCCGAGCCGCCTCGGTTTCCTCTGGGGACGTAAGTGATTTTGCTAGTAGAAAGGGCGGCTCCACCCCAATTTTGAAATGCCAGCTTGGGGGCAAGGCATCTGGGCTCCTGCCGTGCCGGTGATGGCGAACCTTTTCAACTCTGTGTCAAATATTTGGAAAACGTCTAACTTGACTCTACTGGTGTATCACACCCACCACCACCTCCGAACAGAAGAGAAATACATCTTTTACCTCCCCACCCATCTAAGCTACCCTGAACAGTGGCACTCAGTGGCAGAACCAAGGCTGGGCCTGGAGGAGAAACCTGGGATGCAACTTCAGCCCTTAGTGCTACGGCTGCCATTCAAAAAGTCTTCCTTCCACCGTTCCCCAAGAGGCACAAGACTTGGGGAGCGGTGTGATTGCCTCTGCAGCCCGGTGCTCCCCAAGTTCCGCTGTGCGCTGTTTATCTTCGGGCTGTTTCCTCTTTCTGCTGACAGGCCCAGAGCGGCGTATGGGAGGCTGCTCCAGGCCGCACAAAGCTTTCGTTCTTGAAGCATCATGTGAGAGGATGCTCTTCCACTGCCTCCGCAGCTGGTAAAAACACACCTTGTTCTTGCATGATTTTCAGAGGCTGCACGAGAACACACCCCGTTCTTGCACAGCCTCCAAAAATCACGGGAGGGCAGGATGTGCTTTTCGAGAATAATGGTTATCGGGTATTGTTGAACCCTGGATGCGTTACAAAACCTTCTTAGGAAGCCAAACTCCTACTCCGCATTCACACTGCCGTCTCCTGGCTAATGTAACATCGCCATACGCTAATTTTTTTTTTTTAAAAAAGCTAAGACCTTGGGTGGTGTCACTTTTGACGCAGTTGTTATGGGTTTGCCATCATTGTGCTAGGCTCACTTGGCACAGTCAGCTAAGCAGAAGAAGAATCTTAAGATCTTCCTGTGCTTCAAAAAGAGGAGTTTGCTTTGAGGCCACCAGCCTTTCTGGTTTCATGAGACACATTTGGGCTTTCTTTGACAACGGCATGATTTAGGGGTTATTCTGCCGTGCATCAAGATTTTTTTTCCAATCTGGAAACAGTTTAAATAAATAGATATTAAATTCACAGCCAGCAAGGGTGGCAATAGTCATTCCTAAGCCAAAGCTTAGTCTTTCAGTGCCACTGATCTTCCTTGATCTAAACTAACCAAGGTTGGGTCTTCGGTGTTACCTTACAAAGGTATCAAGCCGCTTTTCCTAACCTGGGTTTTCTCCTTCCAGGTGTGTTAATTCTCAGAGCCCAAATTCCTGGTCAACAAGCCCGATACAAATGTAATGTACCTTGCTGGCAAGAAGGGACATTTTGAATCGTATGCAAAAAAAAAATAGCTTTTAGTGTTAGCACAGTGGTTAGCATGCAGTACTGCAGGCTAATTTTGCTGACTGCCAACAGTTCAATTCTCACTGGCTCAAGGTTGACTCAGCCTTCTATCCTTCTGAGGTTGTTAAAATGAGGACCCAGATTGTGCTACTGCTATTGCTATTAGAGAAGGGTGCCTTTTTTAAAAAGAGGATGAGGAAAGATTTGATGTTACGCCTCCCCCTTTTGGCAATTCAAAGTTCTCTCTCTCCTCCATTGTGGTGTTATAGGTAGAAGCTCTGTGTTCCCCCTGGCTTGCCTGCTAGGCCTCCTCTGTTGTTCCGTTGAGGTAGGACACCCTGCACAGACAAGGGATGGACAGGGACAGTGGCCATTCACTAGCCTTGTATCTTCGTGGCTGACTGTAACAGGTAGTTATTAACGATAGAGCCCAGTTCTGTGGCATAAAAAGCTTTAATAATAATAAGTTTTTGGCCTGGAAGTATTCAGAGTTAGGATTATTCTTTGCTGGTGGGAAACTTCAATAATCCTTCCACTGTCTTTTGTACCTGTTTTTACCTTCTGGCTCTTCTCCGTAGGTAGCCCTCCACTTTACAATCGTGTAAATGGGATTATCTAGAGTTTGAGACCCTTACGATTTGTTTATTTAAAAGTGTTTTTTAAAAAAAATAAATTCAACACTTTATAGAATTCCACATTTTCCAGGCAAGACCTTTGTAGTATTGATTGATTCCGGTAAGCCGAAATTTCCTCAGGTGCAAAGCAAATACCCTTATCAAGGAACTACAAGTTCCCCGTTTTGATCATGTGACTATAGGGTTGTTTCGACTTGTCATATTGCGAAGACTGGGTCCCTGGTCACTTTCTTTCCCAGCGACATTGTAAACTTTGAACTGTTGTAAGTCGAGGACTGCCCGTGTAAGTCGTAAGTTGCTATTTGAGAAGCTAAGTTTCCGGGGAACCAAACTCCTTCAACACCACGATTCTCACCTGAGCTGACCTTGATAGGTGCTTTGATAGGTAAGTGGCGGGTGGGAAAGCATCGACTTCTGCATTGAAAGCTGAGCTCTGTCCTTGTGTCTCTTTTTCTCTCTCCAAGTCATGTAGTTTTTCTTGTTGGTGTCGTAGCTTTCATCTCTCTCTTTTTTTTCTCTCTTCCCCTTCCCCTTCCCCTTCCTCTTTTTATTTTACTCTCCTCCCTACCCTCTGCTGCTTTCTTTTGCTCTCTGCTTTGCTGTCCGACAGCCGACAGACGAGAGGAGCTGGGTCTATTCTCCTCTCCACTATAACACTCAAATCCAGTCAGTCTCTGACGAAGAGAGTGATACAGTAAGTTCGTGTTCGTGCCTGTTCGGGATATTTTTTGTTTGTTTGTTTGTTTCATTTCATTTTTAAGAAGGGAACACAATTGTTTGCACAGCCCATCCTCGCCAGAAAGCTGCACTGCCAGCTAATCCCGAGCGATCTTGGGAAGCTCCCTGCGCCTGCAAGTTTTATGCTCCTCAAAAGACGGCGCTGGTTTTTCACAAGCCTGCGTTTCCTCCTAGACTCGCCTCAGAAAGGAATTGGAACGTGACTTGACATAAAGCAGCTGTAGAGACTTCAATGTTGCAGTTGCCCCGACGGCCCATTTTTCGTAGTTCCGAATAAAACACGGTGGGCGGAGCGGAGGGCATCCTCTATGCCAGGGGTGTCCAACTCGAAGCTCGCAGGTTGGATCCGGCCCGCAGGGTGCTTCGATCTGGCCCACAGGACTGGCCTGCAGTGCCTCTGCTGGCCAAAAAGAGCCATCGGGGGGGTTCACATGGCCCCCGCACAGCCTGTTTTCAGCTGCCAGAGTGCTGCAGGAGGCCGTGGAGGCTGAAAAGAGGCTGCACGCCGCTGCCACCCCCTCGCCTCCCCGTGGCCCATTTTCGGCTGGCAGGGTGCTGCAGGAGATGTCCATCCTGTCTCCCACCCCCGGCCGGCCCACGGAGAACTACAATGCTCAGCCAGTCCTCGAAGAAATCCAGTTTGACACCCCTGTTCTATGGCAGGATTTCTCAATCTTGATAACTTTTAAGTTGTGTGTACGTCAACCCACAGAATTTTAAGATGTGCGGGAGTCAACTCTCAAACTTCCCCTGGCAGCCCTAGTGACGGGGGATTCTGGAAGTTGTTGAAGTCCACACCCGGGAGCACCTTTGGTTCTTATCGGGAGTCAGTTCTGTCAGGGGTTGTTCCTACTGTGGACATCTTGAGGACAAACCCATGTTGACCATCCAGTAGATCCCCATCTGTGCTAATGTATCATGATTCCGGTGAGAGAAACCAGGCTGGTGTCTCAAGGAAGCCGTTCTTGGATTAACAAGATCCATGATGTCAGTAGATCCCAGCTGCTCCTCTCCGTCTTGAAAAGAACGGCCCAGTGTCTACTCACTTGGGGGTGGGGGGAGAAACCGCCTATAAATTCTGGGGCAGAAACAGAATAATTGAGAGCCACTGTGGTCTAGCGGTTAAGGCACCAAGCTAGAAACCAGGAGACTGTGAGTTCTAATCTCACCTTAGGTAGGAAAGCTAACTGGGTGACTTTTGGCCAATCACCAGGAGACAGTGAGTTCTAGTCCTGCCTTAGGCGTGAAAGCAGACTGGGTGACTTTTGGCCAATCACCAGGAGACAGTGAGGTCTGGCCCCACCTTAGGCATGAAAGCTAACTGGGTGACTTTTGGCCAGTCACCAGGAGACAGTGAGTTCTAGTCCTGCCTTAGGCAGCAAAGCTAACTGGGTGACTTTGGGCCAATCACCAGGAGACAGTGAGTTCTAGTCCCGCCTTAGGCAGGAAAGCTAACTGAGTGACTTTTGGCCAATCACCTGGAGGCAGTGAGTTCTAGTCCCGCCTTAGGCAGGAAAGCCAACTGGGTGACTTTTAGCCAATCACCAGGAGACAGTGAGTTCTAGTCCCGCCTTAGGCAGGAAAGCTGGCTGGGTGACTTTAACCCAGTGTCTGTCTCTCAGCCCAGCCCCACCACACAAGGTTGTTGCTGTGGGGAAAATTAGCTTTCTCCATGTCTACAGTAAATTATTACAGTATGCTGGCTGAGTCATCTCCCGGGGTCTTCCCGTGCCCAAGCCAATTCCAGAATAAAGGACAGATATAATTCAGAGAGACTAGATTTTCAGTTGCCACCTAAACCATATCTATAATTGTTCAATATCCGGTTTATATCTTCCGGTTCTCTGCATAAATCCTGAGAGATTGAAGCCGTCCTTTTGGATGGGACCGTTCCTCTAAATGCTGTCCTCTCTTCCTTTTGTCTCCTATCTCCCCCCCCCCGCCCCTGCAGTAACTTCTATGCAAACTCCTTGAGAGAAACGTTCCTCCTGGCGCTGTTTGCGGCATTCCCTTCCGATGTTCCTTGCAGCTTTTCAGAGGGAAGGCGTGGAAGAATGTTGTGCATCAACATCGGCTGTCCTTCAGCATCCCAGCGTTACCCGGAAAGACAAAGCAAAACCACCCCGAGTCCCACCTCCTTCCTCCCACCATCCTTTCTCCAAAAACGTGTATATTAATACCTTTCCAAGCAGTTCCCCACAAACTGACCTTGGCCCCAGAGACATCAGAGGTCGGAAGGAATTCGATCCTGGGTCGCCACCTCTCTATTTCTCTCTCTCTTTCTCTATTTATTCCCAAAGTGCACTACTGTAGCTCTCTTATCTGTATGTGATACTGTGAACATTTTTTTTAAAAAAAATCATGTATTTATTTTGTTTCTCTTTGCACAAACAGCACGCTTGTGCTTTTGTTTTGTTTTTGGTTTTTTTTTCAAAAATAGTTTTATTGCACTTTTAGGGTGTAGGGGAGAAGGCCTTGTTACAGATGTTGATCGCCTCTGGCGATAGAGTTTAGAAGAAGAAGCGGCCTCTGAGCTGAGAGGCAGCAGGGCAGGAAAGGCTGGCAGAGCTGTGGAGCTGGTTAGAAAAGTGTCTATCAAATGCCATTTCGGGTTGATCACTCGGTGGCCCCCACTTCAGTTTGTCAGCAAGAAAAAAAGGCTGAAATCCCAGCCGGCTCTTGAAGATTTCCACTGAAACAGGCCATGGAACCTGCCCGAAGCTTCCTTGGTATCTATTTGAGTGGGATTTTTTCCTCCCAGTTGAATGTACATCGTCCCTCATGCCCGCCATCTTTGTTGGAGAAGGTGGCCGAACCCATCTCAGTTCCATGCGAAGCTATGCTTGGTAGCATCTTCAGGTTGATTCTACAGCAGCCTCCTTTGGGCCGAGCACTGGATTTCTGGAAACCTCACATTGGAGGCTTCTTCCTGGCTTCTCTTCCTGCTGCGCCCAGCGAAGAAGCTCGGTCAACTTAAGCCATAAGAGGCGCCAAGCTAAAAAGGCTGTGAGGTCGTCAAGATTGGAGAGAAGCACCCCGGGAAGGCTTGCAGGGGATAAAAAGCACCGGGAGGAGGTCTTGGCAACGTTTGAAGAAGCTGGGCTCTGTTCTAAGGGCCGTGAAGCAGCTCCCACTTCGGAGAGTAGCACCAGAGGACTCGCTTGCGGCCCCTCAGGATCACGCTGTCCGTCGTGCAGGGCACCGTTCTAAATACGGAGAGGGCAAGAATGAACGCGGTTGTAGGCAGGAAAGGCAGCAGAGAAACATCTATCCCGTGTGGAAACCTCCTTTCGGGGAAGCGGATGGAAAAAAAAATAATGGCGTCTTCCAGAGCCGCAGCTGCTGGAGGATTTCTACAGTTATGACAGTATTTTCTTCTGGGATGGCACAAAACGGACTCTGCTTTGTGGGTGGGTAGGACGCCTCTTAAATAGCAGCCTTTGGAGATGCAAGATAATCTCATCAGTGCAGTATTCAAGACCAGCCAAGTCAGTCCAGCTGGTGAGAGGCCTCAAAGCTGCTTTCTTTTTTTCGGGGGGGGGGGGGGGGGGGGGGGGGGGGGGGGGGGAGGAGAGTATTCAAATTTACGTCGATGCCTCTGCAAAGGCCCTGCTCTTGTAAAAGAAGCGAGAGCAGAAGGCAGCGTTTGTCTTCCTGGTAACCCTACTGCGAGGTGAGAAACCTGAAATTCCTGTGATGTGCAAGCGATCCCGTCGCCTCCCGGAGGTCCAAACTTGAAGTGCTTTCTTCGGTGGAAATTTGCTCACTTTGTGGTAAAAGTTCCCTATAAAAGGGGAGGAAAAAAAAGAAGCCGGTTTAAGAAGGCCTTGGGCAAGCAAGATAATGGCAAAAGTGCTCTCCGGTGCGTGTGAGGTTCTCATTCCGTGACTGTGAGGAAACTGGGGAGATGCTGGCTCTCTCGCTCTCTCTCTTAAGCTTTGGGGGCTTCCCCCGTGCTGGAACTTCTCAACCTCTCATTCAACATTCCAGAATGCAACTGGAAATGACGTTCTTTAAAGGGACACTATAGTTTTAGGGCAGATTTTGAGAACGTTTCTTTAGGCAGCTACAGGTAGAATGGTTTCTCTGAACCTTGCCCAGTGGAACTTCCGGTCCTGGTTCTTCTTGAGCGCCCGAAGTGGCCCGTGTCTCCTTCTCGATCTTCTCATTTTCTCTCCCAGCGTCCCGGATTCCATTTCCAGCCACCCTGATGTCTTCTCCCCTCTGAAGGTGCCAGTGGTCAGGATGGCACCTTCCTCTTCAGCCTGAGGTGGCATGGGCCCTCCTTCCTCCCCTCTTTGAACTTGCTCCCCTGCAGGCTGTGGGCTCAGGGCAAGCGTTAAGTCCCTTCTTTGCAGACGCAGCCCCACCCAGCATCTTCCGTCCTTGGAGGAGGCGGGCTGATCCATCCGTCAGCAAAGCAGGTGGTCGTGGAACAAACGGCACCCTTTCCTTCTCCCTACCCAGCACAAGGCACAATCAAAGAGTCCCGTTCTTGTGGGTTTCGAAGATGTCCTCCGATCTGGAGCAACCTGGTCAGGGATGGTCCTTTCGGAGTTGGTTGCTCTTATGGTTGAAGGATGGAAACGGCCTTTGACCCATTGATCGGCCCGTCATGGAAAACCATGCTTGCGTCGATTCTTTGACGTGCGTTGATTCCTTTGACCTGGGATATTAAACAGAGTTTGGGCACAGTTGGCTTCGTCTTGTGTGGTTGGCTGAGAGCCTAAAGGTAGATGGAGCAGGAGAGATGACTACCCTCTGCCGAACTCTGCCACGGATGAGGTTCCCTTTGTATAAGATTGTCAGCTGTGGTTTTCAGCCAAGATGACCAAGACATCCTTGGGAAGCACCTGATCCATGTCTTCCTCACCCTGACCCCAGCAAGAGAGCCCAGCTGGCGGCTTCTACCCTCCTCCTTCCTTGGTTCCTTCACTAGAGAGAAAAATCAGCGCTCGGACCACCAGATACTATTCTGAAGGACTTTTGTCGACGTCTACATTAGACTTCCTGAGTGTGCATATATGCTATATATATATATACATATATATATATACTTACATATGTTTTTTTTTCCTTTTCCCTTTTTTTTTTTTGAAAAAGTATTTTTTTAAAAGAACATCTCCATGTTACATGCTTTATACACAGAATGTATAGGATTTAAGGATTGTGTTCAGAGGGTGGGAAAGAAAAAACAGTTGAGTGATGTTTTCTCTTTTTGCAAAGAAAAGTGTATTTCTTGGGGCACAAATTACTTCTTTGTTAGGGGAGGGATTTTGGCCTTAGAAATGTAAATTGTTGCATATTACAAAGTGGTGCAGCTGAAATGGCGTATTTTTTTTTAATGTGAAACCAGGCACAATTTCTCTCATGCACATACACAAACGATTCCCAGCGGAAATCTCTTTTCCCTCTCTCCCCGCCTCCCATGAATAGTTTTTCAAGTGTGTGATATAATTTTATTTTCTATTTAAGCTTTACACGGCCTCTGGGTTAGCCTGAACGTCCAGAAGGGGCCAAAAGTGGTTTGTTTCTCAAACCTGGCAACTGTATGAGGTGTGGACTTCAACTCCCAGAATTCCCAGCCTGCCATGCTGACTGCGGGATTCTGGGAGTTGAAGTCCACACATCTTAAAAGTGCCTATCGTTGAGAAACCCTGATCTAGAGGGGTACCATCAATCTGTTACCCTTCTTAAGGACATTAAAAGGGGCAGGTGGGTGTCTTAATTGCTATTTTTAAAAATACCTGCCGACTAGATTCCCTTGCTGATGTTTTCTTTCCATTTTATAATCTCTTGATTCTAAGCTCCTTAGAATGCGTATTTTGCCCAAATTTGGGGGGGTCTGTTTCTACCAAATCAACCATGCCACATTTTTCTCCACTGATGAACTTTCCTGGCTACTTTCATCCTTTCAGTGGCCCAAGTGCAAGCAAGCTGGTCAAAAACTGCCTCCTTTCCCCCCACTTTTTTTTACTGAACAGCCTTTGTCACTGCAATCTCACCATTATTTATACCTGTCCACCCTCTGCAACTTTGAGGCTTGTGGACTACAACTCCAAAATTCCCCAGCCAAAGTTGGCGAGGTTGGACCCCCCTGGTTTATACAGTGACCCACAGTCTTCATTTAAGGAAATGTCAGTGTTTTAAATTTTTCTTGCCAGGTTGTAAGAAGGGGAGAATCCTTTAAAATCGAGATTTCTCTCTTGTCGGCCTTCATTTTCTCTTAGAGGAAGTGGGAGTTGTGGGGTTCCTGTCCAAATATAGAATTGGGCAGAAGCAGGAAGAACAGCCATTATCCTCTGGTGGATTCTAGGCCATTCCGAACCTGATCTCTTTCTCACTCACTCCGGTGGCTCCATTCAGACCCCATTCACACTCCATCAAGTCATGATGGCCGCTTTTAAGGACCGGGAACCTTCCAGTTCCTCAAAGATCTATATGGGCACCTCACTGGGTCACAACTACAGCCCTACACCTGCCCCCGCTCCTTTTCAGGAGGAGCCAGAAGGGCGAGGTGTCACATCTCAAAAATCTTCTGTCAGGATGAAGTGCAAAGGGAGGGAGAGCAAGGAGGAAGAGGGGCTCCTGGTTGGTTGGCTTTCTTTCTTTTTTTTTAAGGTGCTAAGATGGCTTCTCCCACCCTCAAATGCAGGCATCCGGTGGTTCTTCCGGTGGTGGCAGAGCGGCCATTTAGAGTTGTTTTAATGTAATTTTAATTGGGGGGGATGGGAGGGAGATAACGGATCAGGGGTTTGTTTTTGATGTTTTCTGTTGATGTTTCTATTTTGTAAAGTGCCCGGTCTATACAAGGGTGACATTTTCTGTTCATAAATAAATAAATAAAGATACCTTTTTCTGCTGAGATTCCTCCCTTGGCCAGAGAGCAAAGGACAAGGCCAGGGGTGGGATTCTACCAGTTCGCACCTATTCGTTAGAACCGCACCTATTCGCCTAATCCTGTAAGGAAGGCAGGAAGGAAACATTCTGGTGTTGCTTACAGAAACTGCCTCTCGGTTAACCCTTATTACATTCTTGGCAGGACTAGACTTCCTGTCTCAGGAGCTTCTCTGGAGTTTTTTTCCCCTCCTTTGCTGGTACTTTGCTTGTGTGGAGGGACCATTCAAAGTTACAATGGCACTGAAAAAAGTCACTTATGACCCTTTTTCACACGACTGTTGCAGCATCCCCACAGTCACGAGAGGCCAGGCGAGGAGATGTGTGCCTCAATGCGAGTGATGTTGATTTGGCCACACCCAGCCAGTCACATTACCACCAAGCCATGCCCACCAACTAAGCTACACCCACAGAACCGGTTGTTAAATTGAATCCCACCCCTGGACAAGTCTACCTTTGTAGACACAAGTTACTAGCAGGAGAAGACACACATACACACACACACCCCTCCTTTAAGGCCTCCTTCCTTCAGGCCCATAAGATGAGAGAGAAAGCCAGCAAGCAGGCTGACCCTGTGTCCACCAGGCTGCCCAGGAGGCAGGTTTTTCCCACTACAGCTAGTCCTCAACAACGGCTTGTTTAGTAGACCAAAGTTGCAATGGCACTGACAAAAGTGACTTATGACCGTGTCACACACCTTAACAACTCTTGCAGCGTCTCCATAGTCACGTGATCAAAATTAGGGCGCTTGGCAATTCTATTTATGATGGTTGCAGTGCCCCAGGGTTGTGTGAACACCTTTTTGGGCCTGACAAGCGAAGTCAATGGGGAAGCCAGATTCATTTAACAACTGTGTTACTAATTTAGCAACTGCTGTGTTTTATTTAACAAATGTGGCCAGAAAGGTGGTAAAATGAGGTAAAGTTCTCTTAACGAATGTTTCACTTAGCAACAGCAATGTTGGGCTCAATTGTCATAAGTCGAGGACTACCTGTCATCAGGAAAGTGTAAGACCTGAGACCTCAAAGATACAGGTATACTCACCCACTCACCAATGGCAAAAGCTAGGAACCCCTCTATATCTTTTTTTTTTTTGAAGTGAAGTAGGAGATGATGAAATTTGGCTCCTTCCTGTATCCCAATGGGTGCCTTTATGGCAGCCTTGGTTTTGGACCACCCCAGGCCTCCAGGGATCAGGAAATGGAGATCCTCCGGAACATGAGGCTCCAACCACAGTGGCAACACTTCCCAATGGGTGGTAAATTATCTCTTGAGATCCACTGTAAGTGCCTTGGCTTGTCCCAAGGTTGCTTCCCCAAGAGGCAATTCAACTTTTTTTCCCCTTCAAAACATTTTCTTTCTCCGGTTCTTATAACCGAAGTTAAAAACTTTGCGGCTGAGAAGCAAGTCCAGTTGCCTTTTGGAAAAGCACCTTTGGGGTAACCATGACCTGGATAATGGAAAATTTCCATAGACCTTAACTTTGCTGAATTTCA